ATAACTAGATTTTACACATGCCAATCTACCCCCTCACTTAAATCCTGTATCCGCCCCTGGAGTTATGATCAGAATTTATCACTTTTAAGCTAGAAAACGACATCATCTCCCGCAATATTCAAGTTTCAAGGACACCGTTGTGAATCCTCTTTAAACATCGGGTTACTGAAGATTACGATGACAGTCTAGGGTTTCCAGTGAAAAGGAAAAATCGTTTGCGAAAATTTCGTATTTTTTGCGAATTTTTTTTTTCGCGACCATATCGCTTCATTTTCGCATTTAGTTTGTTCGCTGGAAACCCTAGGACAGTCCCTTGAAAGAAAAATAAATATTTCCAGGATTCTGTGATGAGTGTGGCCTCGGAGAGACAATTTGAGTCTAAAAGCTCTATTGATTGTTTCAGGTGAAAAGTTTTATTTAAAAAAATAACGATACTTGGCAGAGGCGTATTCAGGGGGGGGGGCTAGTCCAGTGAAATCTATTGATTTCAGGGGGTTTTCATGCCCCAACGGGTGCTGACCCCCCCCCCCTGGAAAGAAAAAAGTGTAAGCCCCCCCCCCTGGACAAATTCCTGAATACCCCCCTGGTACTTGGTAATTTCTTATCAAATATGCTGTCAAGATAACCTATGTACACTATGACCTTTTAAATGTATGCAATATCACGGGAACCATTCAAGGATAAATGTATAATGTATGAACGGGAAACGTAATTATAAATGGAAATCATTATAAATCTATGCAAGCTACAATGTGAACGCGTGCAATGTTTGTACATGAAAAGATTATCAGAATATATTATTTTTAAATTCTTCTCACCATGAAATACAAGACAAATGCATATTAAGAGGAGTGTTGTGACAAAAACCAGTCCCCCCCTGACCCCCTAAAATACCCCACCGTGCGCCATGGGAAGGTGATTTCCGACACATGTATTGTCCCAGTACCGTAATAATTAACCTAGTTAGTTCGTTTGTAAACAAGTTATTAAATATATGTATATTTTGTACAATATTAAATAAAATATGGATATACATTTCAATATAGTTTTAGCCATAAAAAGTTAATCTCAATATTCACAAAATTGTTACAAACAACCTTATCATTATTAACTATGACTAATTTATGAAGAATCATACTTGGTCTTGTGCGGTATGTGATTATGTGATTATGTGAGATGAGATCTGAAAGAAGCCCCATCTTGGGCGGTATACTCAAGATTTTTACATAAAACAATTCTGAAATTACGTTTTCTAGCTTTAGTTCTGCTCTGGTCGTGCAGTACAATGCGGTGCAGTATGTAAACTTGTTTGTTTTGATTTAGCCCTGGTCTGTGCAGTACAATGATGAGGAAGGAAGACGTTGAACCAATAGATCCTATAGAACTAGAACCTGATGTGTTTACAGGGTAATTATAGTTTGATTATATCCCTGGGACAGCATGCTTAACAGGTTAATTTTATTTTAAAAATCTGTCCATTACTCCTGTAATAAGTGAAATTATTTAGACATCCTGAACCTGTAATCCATGCACCAACACTTATTCCAAGTATTCAGGTAACTTTTTTTAGTGTATACCCCCCCCCCATGCGTACAGACAGGTTCCTGATAGAATTGAAATATTAATGTTTAGAGTAAGATTGATGCATATAGACGTGTTCTTGAAGTAAATATGAAGAATAGAACTGAAATATTAATGTTTAGAGTAAGATTGATGCATACAGACGTGTTCTTGATAAAGTAAATATGAAGAATAGAACTGAAATATTAATGTTTAGAGTAAGATTGATGCATATAGACGTGTCCTTGATAAAGTAAATTTGAAGAATAGAACTGAAATATCAATGTTTAGAGTAAGATTGATGCATATAGACGTGTTCTTGATAAAGTAAATATGAAGAATAGAACTGAAATATTAATGTTTAGAGTAAGATTGATGCATATAGACGTGTCCTTGATAAAGTAAATTTGAAGAATAGAACTGAAATATCAATGTTTAGAGTAAGATTGATGCATATAGACGTGTTCTTGATAAAGTAAATATGAAGAATAGAACTGAAATATCAATGTTTAGAGTAAGATTGATGCATATAGACGTGTTCTTGATAAAGTAAATATGAAGAATAGAACTGAAATATTTATCCCTACAACCTTCGAAAATGCTCCTTCTCAACGTCCTTCGGCCTCAAATCATACCCGCGATATTTCTCTGGCCTCTAATCTGCCTCCGACTACCAATGGCTCGACATCGAATTTGACCTCCAATCCTAACTCAGCCTCCAGCCTACTGGATATTTGGTCTCAGGTAGAAATATAACTAAACATTCGCCGCAACCCTTATTTTTCTGATCCTTATATTATTTTTGCAACCTGATTGTGTAAAATTATTTTAAGCTTTAGATATTTGAACTAGTTCCTAGTTTAAAATCTTAAAGGTCTTCGAAATCAGGTAGCAAAGATGTAAGGATTATAAATGAGGAAAGTATGCGGTAAGTAGTAAGTCAGTTCTTTTAAATCCATTTGACCAAGCTTTTACCATTTTGACCACGTTTTAACCAAGTTTAACAACGTTTAACCAAGTTTTGACTATTTTTCTATATTCAAAAGTTTTAGTTTTAAAATAAAATGTATTTATTTTTAATTTATGATTTATTGTTTAGGCTTGTAATAATATTAGTCCACGGACCAGTCCCGTCACCAGGTTTAAGCTTTTTTATTTAATTAATTATTAGTCCTCAAGTTAGAATAGTTCATGACTTAAAGGAGAGTAGATACAAGAAATAAACAGATTAGATACTGAGTTCACATGATTTTTGTGAATATGCTGTCTCAAATTCATATTAATTTTTTCTTTGGCTGGATTACAGTTTAATAAAATCATAATCTGATAAAAATTGGCCCTGAATTTATCAGAATTACTGACACTATTGTTTAACACTCCCTTTAAATAAAAAATGCATAAATCATGAATACTCCCTTTTTAATAAAAATTTGCGAACACCCTCTTAAAATAGAAAAATGGAAGAAAAATCCCGTTTATTCAAAAATTCATGCTTCCACTCGACATTTATGATAAAATACATTTTTTTTATAGTCTTTACAATTTGTTATCCCTTGCAAGCATTTTACAACCAGTTTTCCCGTTTTGGGGAGATGTTTGTGAAGTAACTTCAATAAAAGATGATTAGATAACACCGTTGATTATTCAAAATGAAACTACATTACAGGGTGTTCCAATAAACATGGGAATTCTGTGACGAATTCGATATCGTCTTTTTAAATAATTCTTTGATTTACTATAGTGATACCTACTGAGAAAGCTGTAATTTGCGGAGACATTATAGACACATCTTTAGTCTTTTACCCTTTTCATAAAATAAACTCTAGCAGCCATAATAATATTTTGTTTTTTGAAATTAGGTATTACAATGCTAATTCATAACAAGGACGATATCCAATTCGTCACTGAATTCCCATGTTTTTTGGGACACTCTGTATAATCAAGTTTTACTGCAACACATTTTTACTTAAAAAATGGATCTAAAACCAATAAATAAATACATGAACTTTTTCACTTCTTTATTCAGTATGTCTTGGGCAGACCGCCTATTTTTTAGAGAGTTTCCAGAAATGGAGCTGTCTTGGGCTGACCGCCTATTTTTTAGAGAGTCTCCAGAAATGGAGCTGTCTTGGGCAGACCGCCTAGTATAATTCATCTCCCTAGGGTGACCAGTTCGGTCAGCCCATGGATACGTTTCGGCGGCTAGGAGCGCCGACCCCTATTACATTGAATGATGGGTTGTCCGTTAATAATGATAATAATGCATACAATAGAGGAATTACATTCAAAAACGCTAAACATTAACTTTATGACGCCAAATGTTCTCAGTGGCCACCATCAACTTTGACACATAATTCAGCTCTTTTCCTGGTATGGCGCGCCACCTTGATGAGCTGATCTTTGCTGATGTGCTTGGCAAAGTCATCCACAATGGCATTGTAAAAAAAATAATTTTTTCAACTTAAATCAAAATGTTTTATATTAATGGATAGAAGAAAACCATGAATTTGCGGATTTTTAAATAGATTTCTGAACTCAAACTTTGTTGCAGTAATACTGTAATGAAATCAAATGATTAATTTAATCTAAAATTAGTTTGATTTCTTTAGGCCTGGTAGTGCAAGATCTCTTCTCAGCTTTTCTCCAAACCTCCACCTTGCTCCGACTCCAACACCCAACCTAAACCTAGCTCCGAACCTGAGCTTGAATCTAGGAGGACGGAGTCCTAGTATGAAGAAGAAGCTAGATCTCGACTCAGATCAGGTTCGGAAAATATCAGGAGTTTTTAAAGTTTTGAAACAAGCCAAAAGCATGAGTTAGATTTTAAAAATATAAAAATATATAAATTTATGATTATTATCATTTTTATAATCAAAATTATTGACATCATTATTATTATCATGGTCATGATTAGCATGATAATTATTATTTATTATTCTTTTTGTTATTATTTATGACATGGTAGGCCACTATTATTATAATTATTGTTATCTGATTATTGTTTTTGTTATTATTCATTATTTGATTATCATTTTCTTATAATTATAATATATTTAAGGATTTAGTATCTACTAGACTGGAGGCATTGATGAATAGTTTGACATTGAGTGATAGCAGTCTTGATATAACCATTGGGTAGGTTTCATAGACAGGACAGGACAGGACAGGACAGGACAGGACAGGACAGGACAGGACAGGACAGGATATTTATATTTTAGAACAATAAAGCAAGTATAATAAATGTTACTTAAATATATAATATTTATATTTTAGGAACTATGAGAGTGAATGAGCTGATGATTTTAAGAATGTTGATAAGAAAATAATATTGAAAAGAGTTTAGACGAAATTTCAAGTGACCCTCCATTGATAAGAATCTGATTGAAAACAGTCCCTAAAGCCTTCAAGGTTTGCCTGGTCAAGAGTGAGATGGTTTTGTATTTTTGAAATAATAATTTTTATGTGTTTTTTGTTTATTCGTGACCTGCGCATTTCTTGCTTCAGAAATCATAAAATTTTTATACTTCCAGAGAATGATGCTTTCTTCAAAATTATTGATCATATTTCAAGACTACTGTTGTAAATCGGATATACCCCTTTTGAAATGGAGGGTCCCTTAAAACTTCGACAACAATCCCTTTAAAAGAATATTAAATAAAAATTTCCAAGTGATAATTGTTAATGAAACAAGTTCTTGAAAGAATGTGATATTTAACAAAATAATTAAATTACTAATGATATATTTGAGGTTTTTTTCAAACAAATATTTGTACATTTATTTAATATATGTTTTTATCAATTTTATTAATTAAATTAAGTTAATTTGGGATCATCTAGAAAATTTGATAATAGAATTACATGAATAGGATAAGAGTCATTATTTGTTTTTATTGGTTCTATGGCTACAACAACAACAATAAGAGCAACAGTAATTGTAAAACATTTTTTATACATGAGCTGAAAAGCTCTCCAGTCCTGAAGAAATTCTGTGACTTTACTTCCATCGGATTATATATGACTTGAAACAAAAATATCGGCTCTCTTGTCCTATTCGTGTTGTGCTGTGAAAATTTTGCACATGGATCTTAAATGTAAGACATGTGGCCGCAGCGCTCGGCCCAGAAAGTGTCTTAACCTAACCTAACCCTAAAAAAATACTAATTTAATGTTGAAAAAGTGGTCATGTACAAAATTGATAGGAGGGGTCCAAAAATCGTTCTCTTGGACGGAACCAAACTTTCTTTTCCCATGCCCCTTTTAAATTTGTATCTTTATTTTATTGAATTAATTTTATTGTAATAGGACCACATCATGTCTTCTATGGCCAGAGCAATTGAACAATGATTTGAAATTCTGGTTATCTTCTGCCTCCTCAATCAATGCTGCTCCTGTAGCTGCTCTGATTTGAAATTCTGGTTATCTTCTGCCTCCTCAATCAATGCTGCTCCTGTAGCTGCTCCTAAGCCAACTGCTGCTACTGACGTCTGTGAATCTACTTCTTCTATCGGAGGGAAAACTCCTTCTGGAGGGAGGTTTACACTGCCTCCAAACCTACGTTCTCCTGACTCTGGATCTTGGTTGGCAACTAGAAACTCGGGGTAGGTTTTAACAAACTTTAAATGTAATTTCATGCGACCTACATAAAAGTGCATGGTTGATTTACAACTGTACCCTCAAAAACTATCAACAATGAATAAGACAGTTATGTATTTTATTAAGGTTTTTCACACACAAAGATATAAAAACATATATAAATGGTCTAGTTTCTCTGTAAAAATTTTATGTTTCTCTATATAAGTAGCAAAATTACTGAACACAAAGGGTTTTAAGGGTACCTTCATGAATCGGACATACGCTGTAATAAATTAAGGGTTTATTAAAATATAAATTAAATTTTATCATAATAAGTGTTGATACAACTTTTTCTTTTAAATTAACTTAGTTATAACTACATTTAGAAACCATGACTATTATAAACTCTAAATGTTTTATTCAAAGATTGAACTTTTTTAGGCATAAGAAGAAGCTGGATCTTTGGTTGAGCAGGCCAGGATCAGAAACAGCTTCAGTAAAATCTTCTTGTTCCTCCTTCTCCTCATCTTCCTCATCTTCCTCATCTTCTGCATCTTTGATCAAGTCCGAGAAAGATGTATGGTTGGCTAAAACCCAAACCTGCGTCAAGGCTGCCACTAACCTCCAAGAATGGAGACAATCCTCTAAAACCTCCAATCTTCAATCTTCTTCAGACCTTGAGAACTGGAGGTCATCCTCTAACGCCACCAACCTCCAAGAATGGAGGCAGCCCAGCCTGCACTCTTCTTCAAGTAGAGTACCCTCCAACGCTGCTTCAAGCCTGCAAGAATGGAGGCAAACCTCTGGCAAACTCCAATCTTTAAGCCTTGATAACTGGAGAGTATCCTCCACTCCAACCTCCAATCTCCAAGATTCCAGGAAAACCCCTGGTCTCGACTCCTGGAGGTTTTGTGAGACTACTCCTATCGACCCTGTTGAGGCTGTAAGACTAGGTCTGAAGAAGACTAGTTTGTGCTGGATGGAAGGATCTCCCTCGGGGTCAAGCACAAGCTCTAGATCATCCTTCATCTCAGAGAACTCCCTGAACTGCTGGCTATCTGGAGAACATTCAAAGGTATAACAAATTAATTTATTTACTCTGAAATCACATGTTATTCCTTCATTAAGAAAATGGTAGACATAATTTTTATTAAATGACCAAAAAATAACAAGTTTTAGCTTTTTAAAATCTTATTTCGGCTAATGATATAATTATGTTTTAATTTATATATAAATATACATTCTTGTAAAGGCATACACAAGGTGATTAAGCTTCTCTAGGACTCTCTTTGATGTGTTAAAACTTTTAGTCGCAAAATATATTTCAAACCTGAAACAAGGATGATTTAATTACAATGTTTCTGGAGTTACAAAATGCGAGTATTTGTTTTAATAAAAAAAATAGCAAATGATCAACTTTAAGAAACACAAATGGTAAAGGATACAGTTTAAGGTTGTTGAATGAGCGGGGTATATATTTATAAACTGATAAGTTGATACTATTGAAATAAAGTTCCGAACATTGTTTGTTACTAGTATTATGATTGTATTTGAAAGGGTAACTTACTATTAGGTTTTAACACACTCGAAATAGAGAGGTGATTGATTTGTGACTAAAACATAATTGTCTTCTGAAAATAATTGCTTGTTTAAAAAAAAGAAGAAAGATTGTTTTCACTTGGAATTTTAACTTATTTCACTTTAACATGAGTGGTTTTGGTACACAATCGAGTATCAGGGTGTGTATGTCTCCGTCAGGTTAAGTATATCCTTGGCAATCCTGGTAAAGACGACTTTCAAAGGCTCTGGGGAGTTTAAAATGATTTTGTTTGACATTTCTACATATATACAAAACATTAGTCATGTTTATCTAGCTGATAAGGGCTTTGATATTTCATGTTTTTAATTATGGTTCCTGGTACGAAAACTATAGAGAAAATTATCCGATTTACAGTTTTCAAGGCTGAAACATTAAACATCTTTCATATTTTTGATCATTAAAAGTTTTATGTGAACCGTTGTGAATTGAGCATGCCTTTCTTTATGTAAAAGGTCAACTGAAATAACAGCAAATTTCTCTTTTAAAGACTTATTTATAATTTCAGGACATGGATGAACATTCCTGGGATCTTGCCTCCGAAGCAAGCAATGTTGCCTCCGAAGGAAGTATTATTACTATCGGCCCGGAGGATATCATGGAGGATATGGATGAGGATCTTGAGGACGACCTGGTTCACATCCAAGCTAATGAGTTGAGCAGATGGTTGATTTGCTAAATTATTTCCATATATTTCTCTCTATATAGATAGATTTACCGTGAATAAGTTGTAACTTACTTATTAATGATATGTTTCTGCCAACTTATACAAGAAACAATCATTCACGGCATTTCTAAATTTCAAAAAAGACCAGATCATCATTCTGCTTCAATCTCTTCGGTTTAAAAGGCACATTATAAAAGATAGATTATCTAATCGATAGTAATTTACATCAAACTCCTAGCCAATACGACTTTCTAAACCAAATTTTTTTTATCGTGTTTTCTATTATCTCAGATTAAGTTTAAACAAAATTATCTAAATATTGAAACCAATCAAATTCTATGCAATACCCACTTTTTTGTTGTTTTGCAACTTTCTCGTTATTGTGTCTATCTTTTTTCAACTTTTTCTTCTACTACAGTACAATTATAACCTGGATATTGTTGGATAAAAGAAAAAAAAGAAAAATCGTCAAAAAAAATCGTATTTTTGTTCCAATGTTATGCCAGGTTTTCTATAAGTTTTTAAAACATAAAAATTTATATATCATTGTCAGAGAAACAGTATATATAGATTATATACATATATATTTATATCATTGTCAGAGTCACAATATATATTTACAAAAAACTTGTTTTTTTCTGCGAGGTTTTTTTACACAAAACTTTGAAACAGGAAGACGACTGTTCCCTTAAAATAGTCACGTGAACATTGTAAAGTGCAGTGTACTTTTCTAAGTTGATAAAGCTTCTGTTAAAACTATTTGCTTAAAAATAACAAGACTACGCAAAGATATGTCGTCTTCCTAGTCCAACGTTATTTAGATCATTTAACGGGATAAAGTAAGTAAGGATAAATAAGAAAAAGGTTCAAGGTGTAACGTTGTGAACTTGGGAATTGGGCGCCTGTCAATCTTCAAATGGAGATCGGAGGGTCACTTACTTGAAAGTACTTCTTCTACACTCTACAGTTCTATGACTCTATTTTAATTGATTTAAGATATAATTATCCATGGTCTTACAGAACAAGGGTTTCTAATCGGAATTCCGTTGCCCGGAATTGCGTGCAACGGAATCAGGCGCGTAGTGGAGGTTTAGACTAGGGGGGTGCACTGTTGGGCCTGCATTGGAGGGTCACTTACTTGACTAAGACTATTTTAATTGATTTAAGATGTAGTTCTCCATGGTCTTACAGCCAACTAGGGTTTCCAATCGGAATTCCGTTAAGCGGGCAATGATTATTTCCGCTTGTGCCATTTCATTGCGCTATAATTGCGAACAATGAAGCAATTAATCATTCGCGGAATTGCTTTTCCATCTTAAAATCAATAATTTAAACTGTGACTTACAAGTTTATGCAGCAGATACAAGCATGAAAATATCTCTGTAGATTTTAAAATGGTCGAGGCCGAAGATCAGATGTTTCACCAGATTTCAAATTAAAGTTTAAGATACTAATTAACAATTTAATTTAATACATTTTTCAGATGTTCGCGTTACATTAACATTAAAATGGAATTTTGTTTGGTTAAAAATGTAAGGTTCGTTCAATCAAAATGAGATATTTTGCTACAGTGAGAACCAGAGAACTATGTAGATATCGTAGTATATGTTCCATAATTCCGCAACCCACTTTGTGGAGAGGAATCACAATAGGAAATTTTTAAAAAGAAAATCCAGGATTATTTTTTTAGGACGAATGACTATAAGGTTACTGCTTTGAATCGGGATGCCACTCTTGCACACAATCAAATACAGTTCTTACAAACAAAAACAATTTTGACAAAATTTTAATGTTTTTGAAGAAAAAAGCATGATTCAGTTTATATTATACGCTTAAACGGTATTTATTAAAAAATAATTGTGTTTCTTCGGTTGTAACCAAAAAATTACTTATGTTGTTTGTTTATCTTTTTGTACTTTTTAGTATACAGGGTGTCCCAAAAAACATGGGAATTCAGTGACGAATTGGATATCGTCTTTGTTATGAATTAGCTTTGTAATACCTAATTTCAAAACCATAATATAATTATTTCTGCTAGAGTTTAATTTATGAAAACGGTAAATGGCTGTAAAGATGTGTCAATAATGTATCCACAAGATGAACAGTGAAGACGGACAAGTTTACTCTGTTTGTATACTGCAATTTTCTTGTTTTATTAAGTACAACCGTATGCAGTCAAAACATAAACAAAATGTGAACATGGCAGACGAAACTTATACAGATTAGAGCTTTCTCAGTAGGTATCACTATACTAAATGAAAGAATTATTTGAAAAGACGATATCGAATTTGTCACTGAATTCCCATATTTATTGGGACACCCTGTACTATACAGGTTTTTCGAGCACCTTTTCCTGAAATTAAATTGAATTGACAATTTAGTTATGATCTTTTTTAATCATTCCACAATTCCAAAGATTTTTCTGTTTAAATTGTTGCACTTAAAAAATGTCGACATGTGAATTCTCGCGACGAATTTGGGCCAAATCGGTTTAGCCGTATTAACGTGTTTTGGATACAACAAACAGACATCCAAGCTCAGTATACGTATGCATGAAGTATGTACTGAGATACACTCAGTAGAGGCGTATTCAGTAGAGGGGGGGGGGTATGGGGGCTCAGCCACCATGGACAAATTCCTTAATACGCCCCTCAGACTATAATAGATAATCCATGAAGGCAAGGCAAAGGAACTCAATATTTTTCTTGATACAGGGTTATCCACTGAGGATTAGACTTTGATTGTAATTACATTTATAAACTAAACATTTCACTGACTCCGTTTGTCTAGGTTACATTGCTAAGCCATGAAGTACTTTTTTACGTCATGCACTCAACCAATTTTGTTTTAAAAGTTAAACTTCTTCTTAAAACTAGATTTTATTCACGTTCTACCAAAAAATATATAAATTTATAATTTATTTGAAATATTTAATTTATATATTTATGTATTTCCAATATGGACACCATTGTTTCATCACACAATTGGACGAATATCTTTTAATAGTTTATCACAAATAAATCTTTATTAAAGAGAGTGTTCGCAATTAAGGAAATGAGGTTAAAGGAGAAAACGTAATAAATCTTACAACGGTAACCTTTAAGTCTTTATTAATCTACAATTAAACCAAAATAAATTTTAGATTAAAACCTCGTTTTCAGTTAAATATATTTTCCGCAAAGCTATGCTTTTAATCATTCTTGGATGTAAAAGGAATACTAGAGGAGATACAAGGTCGCAAAGTAGTACAAGCAAATTTTTCGTACATTTTGCATGAAAATAAATCTAAATAATTCCGAAATTGAAATGTTCATATAATGTAGCGAACACTCCCTTTAAACGCACTTCAACGTACTCTAAAGGCAAAGGAATGTGAACGTGAAGCTTAAATATAAATATATGATTGTCAAAAAGCTTAAATTGTAATAGTATTGCAGAAATTTTTAAGTCCAGAAAGAAATTGCGCATTTAATAGCTTTACGTTTTATATAATTGATTTTCTATAAATATGTTAATAATAAGCTTAAACAATGTTAAAAATGTTTAAATGGCAGGATTTGTGGACTTTCGTTATTTAAATTTACATATAGAATTTGAATTTTCAGTGTGGGTACTTCAAATTTAAAAAAAACGTTTCTTTTCAAAAAAGAAAAGGAGAAATATACATTAAACATGTTTTAAAGTGCAAAATCAGATTAAATTTCAATTTAGAGCCGGATACCTGGCTTAAACGTTATTAAATATACAGAGACGTTTATTTAAAGTTAGATAATTCATTAGTTCAGAAAATCTAGATGTTTAAGGCAAGTCAATGAAAAATTAATATGGAGTAAGATCAAATCAAGCTCAGACAAAAAAATTCAGATAAATTTAGTAAGAACCAGATAAATCTAATTAAACCAGATAAATGTAGTTAGAACCAGATAAATCATAAATCTAGTAACTAGTTAGAACCAGATAAATCCAATTTAGAACCAGATAAATCATAAATTTAGTTAGAACTAGATAAATTCTATTTGGACCAAGAGAAATCTAGTTAAACCAGATATATCCGATTTAGAACCAGATAAATCTATTTAAACCAAATAAATCCGATTTAGAACCAGATAAATGAGGTTAGAACCAGATAAATCCAATTTAGAATCAAATAAATCCAATTTGGACCCAGATAAATCATAAATCTAGTTAGAACCAGATACATCTAGTCATAACCAGATAAATCCAATTTAAAACCCGATAATTCCAATTTAAAATCAGATAAATCTAATTTAGGACCAGATAGATCTAGTTGGACAGAGAAAAGTCCAGTTCTGGAAAGATAGTCTATTATCTAGTTCATGGATCTGAACTTCTGAAGGAAATTGGACCAACCCATGTAAACAGCATCTTCAATGGATAAATGTCGTCTTATTCTGATGAATGTCGTCTTACACTCGGATGAATGTCGTCTTATGAAGCTTCTGAATCGTCGTTATCCATCAGTTTATTAAGAAGTTCAACAGCTTGTTCAACCTTCTTCAAATTGCGCAGTGTTCCTGAACATATGTAATACCATTAAAGGGACTGTAGACGTAATTTCAAGTGGCCCTACGTTTAAAAGTTGCATGTCCATTGTCAATTCCTAATTCAAAATAGCTGCACCCTTTATAAACACTGATATGTTCATTTTTCCGAATTAAATAGGTTATTTTGCCAGGAGCGGATACAGGATTTAAGTGAGGGGGGGCAAGATGTTTTAGGAGCAAAAATTCATAACTAGGAACAAAAATTCGCGGCGTAGGCGAAAATTTTTGTGACTGAAAAGAATCAAAAAGAGTCAAAATTAATGACTAAAGACTAAAAAACTAGATTTTTAACTTTTCACACATTATAGTTTATTAAGACAGATATTTTTCCTGTTTTGCACTAGGGTTTCTTTCCCTTAAGCCTGCTGTTGAGAAGCTATTCTGAAAATAGGAACAAAAAATTCCAAATTCAGGGGGGGGCGAATGTCCCCCGCCCCCCCCTGTATCTGCCCCTGTATTTTGCTCATATTCATGAATTATTTTTTTAAGGATTATTAAGGATTGATCACTTTACTATTCGCTTACCGCTAAGTTACTTATTGCTTAAATTGATTACTCATTCTGATCTATAGCTCATTAATTATATCTTTTAGGATAGATTATACATTCCAAAGAATGTATAGAAACAAAATTTCTTCTGGATACATTTAGGGCTCCATCTTTCAGTCCCAGCGTGTCTCAGACATAGTCTGTGATCTATCTGACAAATGCTCCCATTCTCCATAATTACGAAAACCAATTTGCTGAATTTTTAACCTTATTTTCTAATCTTAAGATTCCTGAAATATCTATTTTAGCTGTCACTTAAAAATAACTCGTTTCCATATTTTGCTATTTGTTATTGCTTTTTGCTAATATACTATTGCTATTTTTATTCATATGTTGAATACTCCGTAGCCATTAGCTTATTGCTCCTTTAGCTTATAAACCAGTTTTTTTATGAAAGCCTTAAAATGCTAATATAGCTTTATGGTGAAATTCATTGAGACTTTTGATAATTGTACTCATTGATCAAAGAGTTATGAAAAACTAATAAGACGTTTTCATAAAGATAAGGTAAATTCGTGAAAGCGTGACAAGATATCTAATGTTAAAAACACATTATGAATATCTACCAAACTTAATTTTTTAAATTTCTAACAAAGTTTTATTTTATTTATTTTAACCTGAGAGCTCTCGAGAAGTTTTCTTGGCAGGACTTGAGGGTAAATCTACATCCTCTAGTAGATAGAGGATAGTCTCTACAGTTGTAGCCTAGATAGATAGATAGATAGATAGATAGATAGATAGATAGATAGATAGATAGATAGATAGATAGATAGATAGATGGATAGATAGAAAGATAAATAGATTCATAAGTTTGTGATGATTAACAAAATTTTATCAAAATTTAGCAATTTCTCTCAAAATTTAACAATTTTTTAATATTATGTTAGAAATATTTCTCAAAATATTACCTGATCCTCATCAGCTGGTGGAAAGGATTGTCCAGCTCTCTTGATCATATTTGAGGTTTGGATACATAGTTTAGAGGATACAGAGTATATTGTGGATATCACAAGGTTATCCAGAGCTTCTAGTTTAGATCTAGATCTAGAAATACAGAGTATAGTGGATATCACTAGATCTAGAAATACAAAGTATATAGTGGATATCACTAGATCTAGAAATAAAAAGTATATAGTGGATATCACTAGATCTAGAAATCCATGGAGTATATAGTGGATATCACTAAATCTAGAAATACATAGTATATAGTGGATATCACTAGATCTAGAAATACAGAGTATATATTGGATATCACTTGATCCAGAAATATAGAGTATATAGTGGATATCACTAGATCTAGAAATACATAGTATATAGTGGATATCACTAGATCTAGAAATACAGAGTATAATGGATATCTCTAGATCTAGAAATACAGAGTTTAGTGGATATCACTAGATCTAGAAATACATGGAGTATATAGTGGATATAACTTGATCTAAAAATACAAAGTATAGTGGATATCACTAGATCTAGAAATACAGAGTATAGTGGATATCACTAGATCTAGAAATACAGAGTATATAGTGGATATCGCTTTATCTAAAAATACAGAGTATAGTGGATATCACTAGACCTTAAAAATGCATAGTATATAGTGGATATCACTAGATCTAGAAATACAGAGTATAGTGGATATCACTAGATCTAGAAATACAGAGTATATAGTGGATATTACTAGATTATCTAGATTAAATCTTCTATCTTAGACAAAGTATTCTATATGGCTTACTCAATGATTTGACGAAGAAACAAACAAGTTTTCAGTTTCAGGGAATCGTGAATATAGATTAGGGGATCCATTACCTGGAGGGGGACAGTTTGGGAGAAATAGATTTATGATTGTAGATTGATCTCTGACTAGAAGATGGATATATTGGGAGGATCAATTCATCCTCATCCAGGTAGTAATGTCGTCCTCCATTCTCTACCTAGATTAAGGGGTTTGTTAACCGATTTGAAAAAAAACACATAAAGGGTGTTCTACATCATATAAGACCGTTAACAGCTCTAAATTGAGATTTAATGGACTAATCAGAAAATTTAAAAAGAATGAATCATTTAAAAAAATGTAGTTAAATATTTCTTTTCTTGCAGAAAATAACAGGGTTTTCGAGTATTATGTGAGTTCTTTGGCGTGTTAAAGCTTGGAGAAAATCTAATATGATATGGGACGCTCTGTAATCTGTATATTACCCTATTTTTTTAGGATCACAACATAAGCCTATCTAACCGCTCACAAAATGTTTCTGAAATTCAGCAAACTCAAATAAGAGTATGTTCGAAATGTTCAAAAAAATTTTTTTTATAAATTTGAATTTCGCGCTTTTTTTCGTAACTTTCTGTAGATTTTATATGAAAATAAGAAACAACTCTTTTTTACCCTTCTAGCAGACGAAAAACATACTTAATTATAATCATTATTCATTCTTTAAGCGATTCATAGTTCAAGAAAGACCGTTTTCTATGCTGTAGAAATCCACGGGTTTATTTTTTTTAATCTTTATCAGATAAAAGCATTATGCATTATCTAAAAATTTTAAAATGAGGGTGTTTTATGTGTAATTCAAACAACGGTACCCTTTAGTACGTTGTCTTGTTGCAAGAACAAATGATTATTTTTAATTGTGGATTCTGTTAAAAAGTTACTCGCGGAGTTCTGCTTATAGAAACAATAAATTTAATCGTCTTTTCAAGCTACAAAAAAAGGTGATATTTTTTTTACAATCTACAATATTAATCAGATAAATGTCTAATGTATACCGATGTAAACCTGACATGCCGCTCTATAAATGGAGGGTTACTAGAAATTACAACAAAATCCTTTTAAGGATCTTAGAATGCATCTTAATCCCTCATCCCAAACCTGATGGGATTCTGATCCTGATCCATAATCCTCAGCGGACTCATCCTCGCTGGTGAGTGCGCGAGTGCGCGCGTTCTCGTAATGGAAAGAGGCAGAGCGCATCATCGGGGCTCCATCATCAGAACTCTCTCCACAAACTAGGGACTGGGTCATATCCTAGACACGAGAAACTAAGTATTTAATTCGTAAGATTGAAATCTTTTTCAATCATGACTCCCCTTATCAATACATAGTTCTTAGTTACTAATATGTAACCAGGGACCAAATTTAATGAATTTTTACTATACCAACCGCCGGTTCAAATTTGAATCACCGTTCCTGAAGAAGTTTAACTTTGAATTGGTGGTTCAAAGGAATTGAGCTTTTGCAACAAACTCTTATTTTCTAATTCTAATACCTCTGCAACCCAATGTCGTGGAACTTTGATATTTCAAACTATAAAATCTGCGAGATCAAATAGTGTAAGTTTGAAATTTCAAAGGTTTACAAGATCAGGTTGCTAAGATATAGGAATTAGAAAATTGAGTATTTAGCAAAGACTCAATTCCTTTGACCAGCAGTTGATTGTTTAGCAACGAAGCTCAAATTCAGATAAATTAGTTTTCTCCTTCTTGTGCGTAAAATCAAAACTAAAGGATCTACGAGGTCACAAAGTGTACCCAGAAAATAAAGGATAAATGGATTTCATAATCACTAAATACCTGAATGCGTTTATGCTGAGCAGGCTGTGTAAGCTGTGTTGGGCTGGGACTGTACGCACTTTTAGAATTCGAGGATTTTCTCGAATTCGCAGATTTTAACGGATCATAATTCTTCCGGCGTTTCCAGGCTTGGAATTCAGCTTCTCGAGAGGTCAACGAACTGCTGCTTCTACTGCTGCTGCTATTCTTTAGATCAGATCCGGAACAGTTGGTCAGAAGCTTACTAAACGAAAAAATGCAGTATATTTTGTAAATCTTGGAAGCCAAAAAGTTTCGCAAATAATTTTTTCAGGGAGACGGTTTTTTTTAAGCGCTCGATATACTGGAGATACGCTTTTTGTCCATGAGAAATGGCACTTTTTTAGCGACTTAATTTAGCTTGAGTTAATAATCCATGTTATAAACGTTCAAAACTACAGTGGTAGGCGATTATATTGATACAATGAAGACGACTTTCGATTTCTATTTTGATTTATATCAAGCTGTTAAACAGCATAGATACACATAAACATAGACGTCAATAGAAGCTGTCAATTTAAAAAGATTCTTTTTGTTGATTAATTGATATTTTTCTTCGAAAACAGCTTGTTAAAAACCAAAACTTAAGTACAATAGTCGGCTTCATTGTTTTGATATAATCGCCTACCACTGTGGATGAAAATATTCTAAATGAAAAAAAACCCTAAAAGTTACCTCTGAGGTTTAGTTGATGGAACTCTTACACTTGATCTAGTTACACCAGC